CCTTTTAAAATCATCAGGAGTCCCAGATATGAAGAGCAGAGCCTAATTCTACTATTTCATTAGCTAAGTGATTATTGAATAAGTTATTTCACTTCTGGTAGGTTACCACTCAGTAAAATGGCAGTAAGATCTGCCCCATCTAACTTAGAGCGCTAGAGTAAGATTCATCTTTGAGAACTGAATAACAGTGAATATGGAAGTACTGTGTGAACTATAAAAAACTATATAAATATAAAGGCATTATACCAAAAGGGTCACCTTCAATCTGTACCCTATGGATTTATCGATTTATTTTTTCAAAAATCTTACTTTTTTTTTTTTAAATTACAGATTGGAGAAAGTCAACTCCAGGCCACAAGACACCTCTGACTTTACAAACTTACAAGCTTTACAAATGATTTTGTATGATAATCTGTTGCAATAATGGATTCAAAATGACAAGCAAATTTCAAAAACATGTCAAGAAAGTCACATGTAAGTAAAGTAGAAAATACTATACAGTTTGGTCTCTATTGAAAGAAGAGAAAAAACAGATCTAAATCGTTTTCCGCCATCAAAGTCTAAAGCTTTGTTTTGCTTTTGTTTTGCTTTTGTTTTCTCTGTTTATTTTTTTCCTTCAAATACGAAGCAGTGGGGCCCACATTATAGGATAAAGAACACTGCTGGCTAGTGCCTTAAAGACCAAAGAAAAACCACATCATCCCATTGCCCTCATTAGTCTAAAATAGAAGGTGATGAGACAAAATCGTAAACATACATACCAACATTTTCCTCAAAAATGACACAGACACTTAACATGGTAAAATTTGTATGAAGACAAAATTTAATCATATATGTGTGTGTGTGTGTGTGTGTGTGTGTGCTCATAAGCTTATATATGTTCTTATAAGCTTATATAAGCATATATATAGCTCATGAGCTTATATATATATGCTCATGAGCTATATATATGTATAGGCTCATAAGCACATAGTTCAGGGGACAAAAAGGCTTTTGGGAATCCAGGGGCATTACAATCAGGTGAAGAAATACAAGTTGTTAAAAAAAAATCAGGTAAAGTATGAGGACAATGGTAGTAAAATGAAAAGACCCTATGGCCTAAAGAGCTAACTTGTTAGTTAGGGTGGAAGAAAACGCACACCCTACTTTTAAGGGTGCCTAAGCCCTTCAGAGAAAGATTATTAGCAGAATACCTTATAAAAGAAAATTATAACATATGGTATAACATAAATATAAGTTGATGTGGAAAACATGTGGGTACTTTTCCACTTTCACAGTTAGAATTAAAAAATGACAAAGCAAACCCCAGAAATGACAGATATAATAACTAAGGTGAGAAATGTAATCGTCAACTTCAAGGTGGCAGTGGTTTAAGCAACTCCTGAGCTAAAAAGCTCAAGGGATGGATAGAAGAGACTAACAAAATGTGAGCTACAGAACCATAAAGCCTAGTATGTATTTGAGAAGCTATACCTGTGCCTGGATAGATAGGTTTATGTTGCTCTGGCTTAACTACTATCTCAAACAAAACTGAGTACCTGCTACGTGTCAGGTCCCTTGCTGAGCACGGTTAGGAGCAAAGGCATGAGTCGGGCAGCCCTGCCTGCGAACGTCCTGGGTCTACCAAAGGTAAAAGGTTTATACACAAGTACATCAATTAGAAGACACGTAGTAAGAATGGTACAAAATGCATAAAGGGGTTATGGTGTGGTGAAAGAGACCTCGCTAGAATATAATACAAGATATATTATAATATAATAACTCTGGACTCACAGGGCACCTGAGGTTTATTGCCTACCAGGCCCTGAGCAGGCTGTGAATTTCTGAGAAATTACTTACATTCTGCATTACAACCCTCACATTTACACCAGACACAAGAGTGGGCTACATGATTTCCCTGAGTTCTAACTTTCTATCTTTTCGATTGGGTTATCGGAGACCAGTCTCTGAATTATCCTATGAATGAAAAGACTTAATGGGACAGAAATTCAGGAGAGTGTATACTAAAAGCGAAGAGATAGTGTGAGCTGAGGCATAAGACTCCAGCATCATCAGTTCACTCTGCAAATAAAAACTGTTACCTACTCTCTGGGGATTTCACTAATGGCATAGAACATTTTAAAGGGACAAAGCTGAAAAAGAAAATGGATATAAATTTTAAAATATATAAAAATTTAAACAAAAACAGCATGAATTATAAAAATGGTTAGAGTAACAGAGAATGCACTAACATTTAGATTAAATATAAAGTCAAGCAAATCTTACACTTCTAACAAATATCATATTATGATATACAGCAGATGAAAAGATGTAGCTTCATTTTTAAAAGTCTGAATATCCGTAAACCTTTCCCCATATTTGTCTTTAAAATGCATTTATGCAAGGGAAATGTTTTTCCTTCATGTATTCAAAAAAAGGTTATATTAAAAAGAGAGATTGGCAGAATTGCAAGAAAGAATCTAGACTTCATAAATTAAATGAGACCGAGTTGCTTCAGATGAGGATGCCATATTCCAAACTGTTTACTTTAAGAAAAGAATTACTGAGTGCGGCATTCACCCATCCAGCCATCCGCCATCCATCCAAATATATACATACATAAGAACATACAGACATACATTTGACCATACACAATCATTCCTACTAAAAACACAGTAGCATAATAAGAGCCAAGAGGAACATAAGGACGAGTGAGAAACCATGTCTTGTTGCTTAAATGGGGAAACAAAGCTTACATTCTTACAAGGAAGTAAGACAGTATCTATCATATGGGGCCTGAGCACCACATATGCCATGAATAGGACAAGCACATTGGGTAAGGACAACAGCCTCATTTCAAAAACTTAGCCACCACAAAACCATACAGAAGAACACCTCTCCTTTCTAAGCTTACATTTCTTTATGTGAAAAGACACTTACTTCATGGGGTTATTGGAGGAGGCAAAAAAATGATAATGAAAAATCACAGTGCCTCATATAGACTACATGTTCAATGCCTAAAAGGGAAAAAGCAAGTGAAATAACAAAAGTAAAATTGATAGTCAGAGTAAGATGTATGTGGGAACCCAGAGAAGGAAGTGATTACTTCTGATCCTGGCCACAGTCAGACATTTTAGAGAACGTGATACAAGTACGATTTTGATAGGATGACAAAAAGGTATAAATGACATGTTAAGGAAAAGAAAAGAGTTGAGCCAAGAGACGCAGAGTATCAGAGATTACACCAGTGTCCCCAGAGAACAGGACAGACAATAAGGGAACCGCCCATAGTATAATGGAGAAGGTGGGGCATCTCAAGGCAGGGAGAGTCATCCAGGATCCAACTCACCGTGTTCATAGCACTCAGAGTGAAGGAGTCTGAAGGAGACCATGATATGCTTCTCTCCTCACACGTTAGCCTCCTACTCCAGAAAGGATGTTGTCTTTATTCCTTTCATTTTAGAGGGAAGTCCATTTTAGCTCTCCCCAAAAGTTAGGAGACAAAATGGCATCCCCTTGGGAGCAGACCAGGGGAAAGACTGAGAAAACAAATGAGAAAGCCAAGGTATGGCTCCTCTTGTCCTCGTGAAGAGGGATTCTCTTCCAGATCCCTTCCCTAAGTCCCACTATCACTAAAGAACAATGAGCCACAGGAAACCAGCTCCACGAAATTCCATTAACTGCAAAGACACATCCTCCTTTGAGACCAATATAACTTCAGGCACTGCCATGGAGAGCAGTAGAGCACCACGGGCATCGTTTATGTTTTTCTTATAACAGCAGCACTCTGAGGGTCTTCCATTGCCCTTTCTGGACAAAGGATGCCGAAAGCCCCACAGCCACAGCTCACCGGGCCTGCCGGTGCCCGGCCTCTCCACCTGCCACCCTACCCAGCTCGACGTCTGGACTAGGGCTCTGACCTCAGTCCTCCAATACTGACAGCCTAGTGAAGAGTCAACTGGAGGCAGGAAGAGGACTAGAATGAAAAGAAAGAGGCTGAACTGTGTCCCATAGCTTGAAACAGTCTCACACAAAATTGCTGGGGGCCGGGGGGAGGGGGAATACAACACTAATTGAAGAACAATTTACAAACATCCTAGAGAGAATGCAGTAATTTTTTTTTCTCTAAAATCAGGGTGAGGGAGAAAAAATAGAGAAGGGGGACAGGTCTGAATCTCCTTTTACTGCCTCTTCTCTCTCAGCAACCAGAAGTCTAATGATCTTCTCTTAGTTATGAGTTATTATTGTTGCATGGGTGTGGGTGAACTGCTGTCATTGATTGGCAAAAATGAGGAACCTCTTCAGCCAAACATATGGCATTCTTTATGCTCCCTATGGGGTTTAGTGTGTGAATGTGCATGTATGTATATACCGGACATGCTGAGCTCATGTAGATCTTCAAACTCCACCTGATGTAAATTGAATGTACTGCTATTAAAACTCCTAAAATTAGGCTTCACTCACATTAGTCTGCACGCTTCAAAAAATGCAGCTCTCACAGAGTTCTCCAGACAACTCTCTCCTACAGCAGCTTAGAGGAGGAACAATAGCCAGAGAAGGCAAACCAGTCCCAGGTGCCTTACTACGTTGACTTCATATCGGCGTCCCTTTCAACCACTGCATGGCAACATTTTGAGACACTAGTCCAATGACAAGAGGGAGAGTCCACTGGGGGATAGAAACATTTCTACGGGACGGGAGACGGGACAGAAGACAGTTCAGCAGAAGGACAGTGACCTATAAATGAAAAGACCGGGGTTCTAATTTTGGCTCTAGCCCTAATTTACTGTGTAACAATAGCCATACAACCCCTAAGAGGTCTCAATCTCTTTATCCCTAAAGGAAGAGATAGCTTAGATGGTTCCTAGGTATTCTTTATCCTTGGATAGTCAGTGAACTCTGAGAAACACACTACAAATCCTGGAGCTGCCTCTTTCCGACACAGTATCACATTGTAAATGACTTTCATTACATTGAACTCCCCCACTTGGGGCACCCAACCCTGAAATCCCTACACTTACCTTCACCTCCAGGTTGCTTGTATGGGTTGTATTTCGGCTTTGGAGCAACTACTGGGGCAAACTTTTTTGGTGGCTGTTGTGTGGACACGGAAATGCTGGGGGTCCCAAAGGAATGGGTGGTCTCCATCCGCGCAGGCACATGGCCAAGGGGCTCCCCAGTGCTTTTGGGTGGCAGCCAAGAGGGGTGAGACATTGCTGGACTCTGAAATTTAAAAAAATACAGTTGTTTTTATGGAAGCATGAAAATGGAGGCAATGTATCTCACTTCATTATTATTTCATCTTAATCCATATTTGAAGAAGTCTTGAAAATTTTTTCTTCAAATTCTTGAAAATCTTGAAATTCTTCTCTCTGAGAAGAAGGAAGAAGATGGATAAGGAAGAAGGAGGCGGGGGAAGAGGAAAAGAAAAATCTAATACTCCCACTAACTAATCTTAAATAACTCTCTTCTAACAGTTACCTATGTTACTGCCTAGCACTCCTTGGAAATAGATATAAATGAGAAATAATCCCTAACCTGAAAGAGTTTCTATGGTAGGAGAGTGTTATGCCAGTAAGATTTTAAAAAGCTTCAATTGTATTAATAATCTATTAAAATAATGATCACACCAGTCAAATGATGATATGTACCTAAAGGAGGTGATAGGTTATCTAAGAGAGGATTTAAAAAGTGTTGCTGCAGAAAAAGATAAGATCACTTCTAGCTAGCAGCAGAAGACCTCACTGACTTGGTGACCTTTAGGCAGACCTTGAGTGCTGAGTACAGCCTGGGCCTGAACAATGTTAGCACAGTTGTGTGGACAGAAAAGTACACAGCCCCTTACAGTTAGCATGGCTGCAGGGGGGATAAGAAAAAGCAGCTTGTAACAGAACTAAAATGGGGAATGGAACAGACAGCTCTGCATGCAAGTTTGAGGAACTTAAACTTATTTAGGCATTAAGGAACTTCCAAAAGTTTATTCTTGAAACAGGACAAGGTACTTTAAAATGGTCCCTCTGGCAGGAGTGGTTCTGCTCACCACCAAGGGGCACTTGGAATCTGGAGGATGAGAATATTGTTTGCCTCTATGCCTAGGTAATTACTGGCACTTAGTGGCCAGGGGCCAGAATATTCAATACCTGTAATGCACTGGTCAGCCCCACGTGACAAAGAAATGGCCCATCAAGAGCTATGCTGACTTGATATCATACTGGACCTTTATGAAAAACTTAACTAGGAGGGGGACAATCCAGCCCAGCCCAGGTGCTGTTCTAATCAGATTAAAACACACTATGTGAAGAAAGAAAACCAATGCCTTGCATTTCAGAGTGAGCCAGTCACCCCTGCAGGCGGCCTGCAGGCTGCGGCTGAGGAGGGCTCTCAGGCCTGATTGCAAGAGCTCTCTAGCGCAGGGAGGCCCGGAAGGTACCCTGCACCCGCTCCAACCCCAAATCCACCCAGTAATTTATTAATTGAACTGAATTAATTGAGAGGGCTCCATGATTACCTCCAGATGTCTGTAAAAACAAAGAGCACTGGAAATGCAAGAAAAAAGTAAAGGCCTCAGCATGTGGCATGACAATGGAGAAACAGGGTGAAGGGGAATGCAGGGGTACTCTGTTGCTTGGGCATTAGCATCAGGTCACACGGGATGAGGGGCAGGACCTTGGGCAGCCTCCCTGTCCCCATCAGGTACCTCAGGTGCTTCCACTCCCTCCAAATTAAGATAAAAGCCCTGTCCTACTCAACTCCTCCTCAGAGTTTTTTTAAGGCAACCAATGAGATAACAATGTTAAACTGCTTCACAGATTGTCAAGTGCTATTCAAAGAAAGGGGAGGAAAACGGTTGGAAATACAGTTTTCTCAATAAAGAAGATAACTTTATCAATGAGAAGAACTCTAAACTGATAATCAGGAGACTTTTGTTACTGAAGCCAGTAACATTGGCTTTCCAATCTGGGTGCAGGGTCTTTCTTTTCTTCTTCCTCCCAGGTACCTTGTGCACATGCTGTGTACAGATACATTTACTAAACTGTCAGTTCCATCAAAGGGCAGCGAGCGTATTTTACACATCCCTAAATCATCATTACAAGACCTAGCACAAAACAAATACAGAAAAACAACCATGACTTACATATATATATGTATGTATCTCAAAACCAAGCCCATCTCTCAGGTTGAAAAGCACTAATTTTTGTTATGCTTTCTTTCAAATTGATTCTCACTCTCCTACTAAAAGAGGATAAAAGTGTCTGTTCTGCTTTCAACATGACTAAAGTGAGTGTAAGTGGGAACCAGTAGGATAAAATAAAGGTTTGAAAAGTTTAATGCTCTAGGCACTTTCATAGTATAATTTTATTTGTACATTTTAAAAATGGGTTAATGTGATCATTGCCACTCCTCTGTAACTCTGAAGTTATTCCACTATAGAAACTTTAAAAAATGGGTTCATATAGGATGCAGTGATTTCAAAAGCAAAGAAGCACATTTCCTGAGCAACCCCACACTGCCAATTGACTGCAGAATTCTTCTGGGGGAGTATGAAAGATGAAAACTTAACCATCTACATGCAAATCATTGACTCCACCATTCATCATCCCCAGCACCATCTATGACCCTGATCTCTCTCTCTCTCCATGGAGGCACCTACAGCTCCAGCTCCACCTCCTCAGAAAGCCAGGGTCTGGCCAAGTATCTGTTTGCAGAGGACCTTCACAGTACCTTCTCGTTATCATTCTTCAGTGTGTCAACAGTGGCCCAGTGACACCGTTCCCAGGATTCATGCTGAATGTTCACGATACCGAAACTTTGCTCATGCCATTTCGCTCCCTTCACTTTCTACCGAGCCTTTTTTTAAAAAACCTTGACCCAACTCAAATGTCTCTGATGCTGTAAATATTTCCCCCTAAAATGAGTAGCACTTATAACAGTTCACACAGAAGCTATTTTTAATACCTACCCAGTGCTCCAATAAGCTGGAAGCTCCTGAGTGGTCTCACTACACCAGCACAGGGCCTGACTAGAAAGCCCTTAGAAAATATGCTATGCATGAATGGGTGAGTGAATAGACACTTATTTCCTTGGTTACTCATCCCTTTCTAGAATCTCTGTATCTCCCTCCTTAACATCCACTGACACAATCATCTCTTTTTGTCTCCCTTAATTTAGCGATGTAATGAATCACGTTGCTGAATTTCTGGATATTGAGCCAGGTTTGCCCGTCCCGAAAAAGTCCTACTCCATCTCAGTTGTGGAACTTCAATATATTAATAAATTAAATATGTTATTTTATAAAGAATTTTTGTACATAATAGTCATATGATCATTCTGCAGAGTTTTTTTCTCTACTTGTTTTACTTATCTTTATAAGGTTTTTATGAGGGTCCTGCATCCTTTTCTACCCTCTGTATTAATTTAATGATGAGAATGAAATTATGTGATCTTAAAAGGTTTATCAGAATCTCATGTAAAGTCATCTAGATATAATGTCTTAAATAATAGATCTTAAATCATTATTTCCAAAAACTTCCATGAGGTAGTGGTTTTATGCTACTTTTAAGGTCATTTCTCAGCATTTACATTCTGCTAGAAATTCTACTGGATCTTTGAGTTTTATCTCTGTTCCCTTTGAACCAAGCTAACTCCCAATTAAAAATGATGTCTATCGAAATGATGCACTGTGCATCATTCAGATCTTGAGCATCACTTCCTACTAGTCCTTGAAGACATAATTTATGTTCTCTATCCTCCAGTTCAAGTTGAATACACTCGCACTGCACTTCCACAGCACCTGGGATACTGCCGTCACCACGCTCACCACACATCACTCTGCCTCTGTGTGTGCCTGCATGTCAAACTAAACTCTTGAATCCTTGAGAGGAGAAGTAATTATCATTCTCCAACCCCAGGGCCTAATACATGCTAGGTACTCAATAAAAATGTCTGTTAATTTAATGAATGAATAAATTTATTTGTCTGGTACTGAAGCTCCAGATGAATCAGACTCTCATCTTGTAATCAAAAGCTTAAAGCCTCCCTGAGCGAAATACATTGATAGGTGTGAAATGAGAAAGAGAAAAACGCAAAGCATATACAAAAATCTGGGCTGTAGCACAGAAGCTAGCACAGGTTTGACAGGGGAAACCCTTCACAAGGACTCTGAAAGCCGCCTCTAAAAGGCAAATGGGGCAACAGGGATAATGCCTGGAAATTCCATGAGCTCGAGGAAGAAACAAGGCATTTCTGCGGGGCAAGGAGCAGACAACTTGTGCTAAAAAAGTGAAGGGCTGAGGGAGAATACTTAAGGAAAGGGTTTGGAAGGTAAAGTGAACTTGTGTAGTAAATGTCTTATATGGAGAAATAAGAAGCTAGATAGAGCTTTTAACTTTGAACAAGAATCTAAAATGAGTGAAAACTGTAGGTAAGGAAAATCCATCCGTGCAGGGTGGACCCAAGGAAGGCAATAAACATGACAGAGTCCCCTGGGCCCCAGTCCTAGTCTCACCTTTGCCAGCATGGCTTTCAACAAGAATACTCTTTTGCAAAATGAATGTCTGTAGAGTCCCAATCGGCTCTAATATTCTATAGCATTTTCCTTCTCTGAAACCTTAATTACAGCCCTTCATTTTGATAAATGGGTTTGAGGAAACCTCACAAGTTTAGTGAAGGAATAAATCTGAACATGTCAGTTCGGGTTTCTCGGCTTCTCAGAGACACCCAACACAAACACAGAAAAGCAGTGGTGAGAGCTGGTTTTGCTGGACCAAAACTTACCCTGCTCTTACTTCCTCTGGTTCTAGATCAGTTTCACTCTGAACTTATAATCATCATGAAAGCAAGAAGTGAAAGGAAAGATCTCCACAGAGGCTCTGAAAATACACAAATACAATGAGCAGAGAGGAAAACAAGAGAAATGGCTCTCCTCTGGGTAAGATGCCTACTGCTGGTGGTAGTCAGAGAGCTAGGGGTGTCCAAGCACTGATCTTTTAGGAACCGTAGTCAAATGCAAAGAAATTAAGAGGTTTCTATTATTACCCTCTCTGTTGCCCTTCTATCTCCTCTTAGCTGTTCAGCAGCTACAAGAACACCACCAACTGATAACAGATAACAAGTGTTTACTAAGGACTTACTATATAGGCTAAGCAATTTTCTAATGGCCACATAGTCTTCACAGCCATTATACGAGGTAGCATTATGATTATCCACATTTATCAGATCTGGAA